CGAATCCTCGTATTATCTTAGAAATCCCCAATGGCACGCCAAAAGACTTAAACCCAGCCGGATCTTATTGATTTTGTTGTATGATTATCAAAGAGTATCAAGCACCGATTTGATGATAAATCAGAGTGTTTGATTGAGCAAAGAAAGGTGACTCTGGCTTCATGGCAATGATCTTGATATTGGCTCTTCACTATCTGGAGTTGTAGTATACTATGTTCTAAGGTTGGATTGGCNAAATCAGAGTGTTTGATTGAGCAAAGAAAGGTGACTCTGGCTTCATGGCAATGATCTTGATATTGGCTCTTCACTATCTGGAGTTGTAGTATACTATGTTCTAAGGTTGGATTGGCCACCTATTAAAACAGCAGTAATGCTACATTGATCAAATTTTTGAACCAAATTTAGAGTGATCAAATTTTTGAACTAAATTTAGAGCTCAAATGACATGACAACTTATTATTTAAATTCTTTATTGGGGCCCAAATGACATGACACCAAATAAAGAAACTCAAGTCAGTTGCCATGTCATTTGAGCTCTAAATTTAGTTATAAAATTTAGTCACCATAGCATTACTGTTAAAACAGTACGTGAACCGGGTCTAACAGCAGCACAAGGAACCAATCAGAAGTGTNGTTGTATGATTATCAAAGAGTATCAAGCACCGATTTGATGATAAATCAGAGTGTTGATTGAGCAAAGAAAGGTGACTCTGGCTTCATGGCAATGATCTTGATATTGGCTCTTCACTCTCTGGAGTTGTAGTATACTATGTTCTAAGGTTGGATTGGTCACCTATTAAAACAGCAGTAATGCTACATTGATCAAATTTTTAAATCAAAATTTAGAGCTCAAATGACATGATAATTTATTATTTAAATTCTTTATTGGGGCCCAAATGACATGACACCAAATAAAGAAACTCAAGTCAATTGTCATGTCATTTGAGCTCTAAATTTAGTTATAAAATTTAGTCACCATAGCATTACTATNAAATTTAGTTATAAAATTTAGTCACCATAGCATTACTATTAAAACAGTACGTGAACCGGGTCTAACAGCAGCACAAGGAACCAATCAGAAGTGTTAGCTTGCAAAAGAAGGCCAAGTATAGATTGTGCTGAAGTGAGATGAGTAATATATAAGTGGTCCCCTTAGTCATTAATGATGGATAATCCGTTAATAAGAGATTTGGGGAAAAAAAATATTGGAGATGATTTACATGTCAGATCCGAGCCGATTTTTCAGATTTTTTTTGCTGTGCAACCAAGTAGAAGAAGTAAACATGTATTGAACCTTAATTTGTTTCTAATTGAACCCTTTTAATTATCATCCGTTCAGAATTTTTTTTATTGGTGTTTATATTTTTAAGTTTTCGGTTGAATTAGTTTGTAATTGTTATTCTAGATTTTCCACCAGCAGCATCAGAATCACAAGACCGGGAGGGAGCCCACATATGAAGAAGTCAAAAGTTTTGTGCGTGCAGGATCTTGCACAATATAAAAAAAACGAGAATAGATCTCTCCCTTGGTGAACTCAAGTGAGTCAGTTGAGTGATCAACCACGCTGCTTGGGACAGCAGCCTGTGAGGTCCGGTGGTAACCTGAAACGGTAACGGGAAACCCTCATGAATTGAAGGAATGACCCAGTAAGGCTGGGAAAAGGTTCCTGGAACAAAGAGAACAAGTTAGAAGGGCGTCGGAGTGTTTTCCGACTTATCTCCTCCGACGATCAAGTCAGTTTTTGAAAGGGAGAGGAAGAAGAAAACACTGAGTATTTTTCGTAATCCAGAGTTTCTCGTTACATACATTTTTGCCTTTTATGAGGAATATTTATACCTCAAAAGCTCATGATTGCTGTCAGTGTTGTCAGTAGATGATCATTAGGTACAGGCAGTGGGCGCACTGATTCTGATGAGGAATGTCTTCCTTTCTTTAACTGCTCGGGGTGTCGAGCAATCAATGTTGTGTCATCGGGCTGCCGACTGTCTAATGATCTCCACTCGGGGAGGATGCAATAAATGTCCAGCCTTAGAGACATTTATTGTCTTTCAATTCCGAGCCTTACCGCATTGAATGCGGTCTCATCAAGGGAATGGTGTAATTAAATGTTTGCTTTTCCAAGTCGCGTGTCAGTAAGGGCATGCGGTCTTTCTGTCTCTGATGTGACACAATTTGTCACGCGTCCATCCCTTATTGGCTGTGGACCCTGCCTTCCTGTTCCTTCTGACACCAATTGTGTAAGACGAAACCATGATAGCTAACCTAGACTAGTCTAGACTAATGACCTGTACATCAATAGCTTATACTGGAGCAGAGAAAAAGGCATCCTGGACGGGGGTACATCTCGGTACCGAGGACATGCACATCTCGGTACCGAGGATAGGTACATCTCGAGCCGAGGGAAGCCGTACATGATGACCGAGGTACCATACCAGACCGAGGGATACGTGTCGGTTCGTAAAACGTACTCGACACGTGTCAAGTACCTCGGGGGCGAGGGAGTTGTAAGTCGATGGTACGTGATATCAGTTAACAGGATTTTTAGTGACGCCGAGGACACGTGTCTTCATCTTTGAGTATTTCAGAAAAGTCCCATCAACTGCCCCCCAGCCTTTGATCTCCTAACGCCGAGGACACGCGTCGTAAGGAGATGAAGGGTTTCCCAACAACCTCAACTGCTTCATCATTGCCTCTAGCCGCTTTCCCTTGCTTAGGGAGTCGTGCACATTAAATGCGCCCTTTCGTGTTTCGCGCCCAATGATGGGACCGGTACTATATAAATGGGTTTCCTCCCTTTTTTTCTCATTTCGTCTTTCTGAACTTTTCTTCCAGAGAGCCCTTGCCTGAATCTTCGCCGGAGACCTTTTCTCTTCTGTCTCTTAACTGCCCAACCTCTTCACTGAAGCTTTAAAGCTAGCAGACCCATCATTCGTTTCTGAACATTCTGGGAAGGAATCGATTCAAATTTTTCAGAAAATACCTCTTCTTACGCTCTGGTGAGTTCCAGTATCCTCCATTTCTTTGCTCTTCTGTCTCTTTTGGTTTTTCGATTACTGGAGGTATTTTTTGGTTGCCATCCAGCGATCAACCCCTAGGAAGCCTTTTTGGGGATCTTCGTGGAAAAACCCCCTCTATTTTTATCACTTCTTGAACATGCTTCGTCGTCGTTCTGCCCCCGAGAATCCTCAGGCTAATACTTCGAGGCCAGGGAAGTATAAAGTAAAAGGTAGTGAAGAAATTAACAGATTTAGGGTTAGGTACGGCATTCCACCGAATGTAGAGGTAGAGGATTATGACGCAGCTGTGCACCCTCGTACCCTCGGTACCGAGGATGCAATGCCTTTTTATATTAAAGCCATTATACAAGGCGGAATTAAGTTCCCTTTGCCCCCTCTGCTTCTCCAGTTCCTCTCTCATTTCCACCTCTTTCCCGGGCAGTGTTGCCTTAATGTCTTTAGGATAATTATGGGGGTGCTAGAGCTCAATAGGCGTCTTGGGTAAACGTCGAGCTGGACGATATCCTTTTTTGTTATTCCCTTTTGAGAGTTACGCCTCAACAACACTTCTACCTCAAAGCCAGGGACCCATCTATGTACCTCGTAACTCACCTTCCTGACTCGGACAAGGGGTACAAGGATGACCTACTCATCTTCAGGGGATCTTGGCAGAGAGGTGTCGGTCCCGAGTATGACGGCTTGTTATGTCCATTGGAATGGAGAACGACAAGTACGTCGGTTCCTTCGGGCCTTATTATTTTGTTTCTGAAATTTTCTACATGCTCATGACCCTCTCCCCTCTTTTTGCTTGTGCAGACATCTCCCCTCGGGAAACAACACCTCCACCCCGATCGTTGGTGAACTTTGCTGACTTAATCACCGTTTGGAATTTTACTGGCGACAACGGGCTCGGCCGGGCTGCCCACATCTTCCTGAATTACACCCCCGGGTATAAAAATTTTTCGCAGCTTCCCCAGCCTTTCGAGCCTTCTCGGTGGTCTGAACTCTTTGATCAGGCGACGGGGCAAGAANTTTCGCAGCTTCCCTAGCCTTTCGAGCCTTCTCGGTGGTCTGAACTCTTTGATCAGGCGACGGGGCAAGAAGTCGAGGAGAACTTGGAAGAAGACCCTGATCAGGCCTCGGAAGCTGAAGTTGAGGGTGAAGCTGAAGAGCTCGGGGTCGGAGAGGACTTGGTTCCTTCGCACGCCGAGGTGGGGACTTCGGGGAGAGATTCCTGGCCGGACTTCCAAATCCTACAATCTCTCAACGTCGAGGACGCCCTTGAGGTAGCTATGTCCAGCGCCCCCGTATTGATTTAGGGTTCCTTAAAAAGATAAAATTTTTAGGAGACAAAGAGTATTATTTAACTAAAAATTCATTGGTATTGTATGTAATATATATATAGGAGTTGTATTAGGATATAAAAAAATAATTTTTTTGATATTATACCTCTATTTTCTAACCAACAAAAATCTCACGTATATGAATTTTTTGTGTTATAATTTTTTAATCAATAGATTATCTAATTCACAATAGACTGAAGGGGTCAACCAGTACCTTAAACTTACCCATATATATATATATAGAGATATATATAGAGAGAGAGAGAGAGAGAGAGAGAGAGAGAGAGAATCCGACGGGTAAGAAGGTGCAACAAGGGTTTACAAGGGGTAGCAATTTAGCAGAGCTAAATCAAAGAACAGATATTAGCAGTTGGCTTGGCTTTGCCAAAAACAACCCATCTTTGCTGAAGCTCTTCGAAAGTTTCTTGTCTACCAACCTATAATGAAAAATCCCTCTTATACTCTCTCTCTCTCTCTTCTGCCCTTTATTATCTCCTTGTATCTTGGCATACTGCAAGGAAGAAGAATAAGTAAAGAAGACAAGAAAAAGAAAGATTGGCGAGTGGAGAGGTAGATCATGGGGAGAGGCAAGGTTGAGATTAAGAGGATAGAGAACTCGAGCAACAGGCAGGTGACATAGTCCAAGAGAAGGAATGGGATCATGAAGAAGGCTAAGGAGATCACTGTTCTTTGTGATTCTCAAGTTTCTCTTGTAATCTTCTCTAGTTCTGGAAAGATGCACGAGTAATGTAGCCCTTCCACTACGTATTAATTTCTCATTCTCCACATGTTCATTTTTCTAAATCTCTTTGATTTCTTCTTGGGTTTTCTTTACTCTCTCTCTCACTCAGTCTCTCTTCTATATTTTGATTGGTTTGTGCTACTGCTATGTGGGTGCATGTAACTTGATGAAGGCTAATTGAGATGTTGCATGGATACCACCATGCATCCGGGAAAAAGTTGTGGGATGCTAAGCATGAGGTAGGTTTGATTCTCTCTCTCTCTCTCTCTCCCCTCTTCATATTTCATCCAACCCCTTTTGTCCATGTTTTTCCCTGAAAGCATCTGATTATTCTGCTTCTCCCTGTGTAAGATTGACATGATTTTTTGCTAAAAACATGTCGAGTAACTTGAAACATAAATTCTATGAACAGATCTACAAATAGGACTTGCTTCTCTCTCTCTAGACTTCTCTCGCTAGAGTATTTTAGTAATCTTTCATGACAAAAAACACAAAAAACTGTATGAGATGTTACATCCATGGACAGATCTGGTAGTAAAATGTTAATCTCTCTCTTCCCTTTCTTTGCAAAAATAAGTAACCTGATGCGGGTTTTCTTAGTTTTTTTGGCACATAAAAAGTATTTGTAGGTTTCTCTACATAAACCAATATTGATGAACTCTCTTTTCACCCAGTTTTCTCCTTGGTTGTTTGTTTACTGTCCAAAGGATTTACAAACTTTACACTAGCCTGTAACATAAGTTCTATGAACAGATCTACGCATTTGTCATTTTTTTTCCCATGGATCTGTGTGTAGTTGCTTGTCATTTTTTGAAAAAAACTTTGGATTTTTACAATAATGGAAATGAAAAATAACAGAATCTCAGCAATGAAATTGATAGAATCAAGAAAGAGAACGACAGCATGCAGATTGAGCTCAGGTAACTCTCTCTCTCTCTCTCTCTCTCCGTTCTTGTGACTAAGTTTATGTGGCAGGCGCTTGAAGGGGGAGGACATCCAATCTCTGCAATACAAAGAACTTATGGCTATAGAGGATGCCCTTGAAATCGGGCTTTCTGGTATTCGCAACAAGCAGGCAAGTCTCATGGTAATTTTTAAAGCTCATGACATATCTGGTAGACCAAAAAAAATATCTGATCTTCTCTATCTGTTTAACATCTTTCTACAACAGATGGAGATCTTCAAGATGATGACAAAAAATGTATGTCTATTTGGTGCATTGATCTCCTGTTTTTATATCTGATTTAATTACATATATAACTGATTCTACATACATTATTTTGACTGAAAATTGTGTCAGAGACAATTGCTAGAGGAGGAGAATCAGGAGCTCATTAACATCTTGGTATGTTCATCATCTTCCTCGTTACGATACAAAAGCATCTAAAATAACGTGTTAATGCTACATTGGCTAAAAAATGGACTCAATGTAAAAGCTTTTGACCCAACCAAAGTGGTTGTAAAAAAATATTCACAAAAGAAGATGAGTTTGAAAATATTTTTCAAATCAATTAATTTTAAAAATGTTAGTTGATTTGACGTTAAGATTATGGATAGTATTAAAAACATAAAAATGTTAGTTGGTCTGACGTTTTTTAGCTAACCATGTATAACCAACTTACGTCTTTAAATTAAGACTCTAGTATAAGAAGCTTAAAAATGTCATTTTGACTGACGTGTTTAAGCTTAGGTCGATAATATAGCAGACCAAATTTATTAGGACCTGTCGACTGTTACATGGATTGGTTGAAACATATTGGTTGGAATAATCATTCATGGGTTCTCATGACTACAAAAGGTTAGAGAAACAATAATAATTAAACCCTACAAAATCTGCTGCTCTAGCCGTTACATGATTTCATTTACAGTACCATTTCGTATGTTTTGTTCTTGTCAAACAACAATATTATTTGGAAGTGAGATTGAGGATATACTCGGAGTCTAGTTTAAAAAATCTCCCTTAAAATCCTGAATTTGATTGCAGAAAAAATACTAACTGTAAAGAAGGATCAGAGGGGATGAAGAAAAATAACTTTACATCAAAAACATACAAAATGTCGTTCCCAATACATCCAGATTTTGAATAATCCCTAGCAAGAAATACAAATACCAAGGTCTAAACTCACACAAAGTGCTTCACAATGCTTATACAAGCTTCTTTGGTCAGCAGACTTCTTAGTGATAGTTTTTCTCACTCTTTTTTTATGAGTAAAATGTTTAATGTTTATTTATTAAATAAATTAATTATATTTAATAAATAAATTTTGATAATTTAAAAATACATAAATTTCTTTTGTCCTACTGACGTTTTTCTCCCTAACAATGATACGTAAAACTGTTTTGCTTCCTCTCTATTTTAGAGGATGTGTTCCTTTTTATTTATTTAAAAATTAAATTACATTCAATAAATAAATTTTGATTATTTAAAAATATTTATATTTTTTAGCATATCAAACTGTAAAAATTGAAAACGTACACATATAATTAATTTTAATTTTATCATATAATTTTAAATGCATACATAAAATATATATAAAATTTTATTTTTAATGTTGATCATATTGACATTAATGCTTATTAAGCTTTGAAAAAATATAAGTTATTCAGAACGTATACATGTGAAAAAAAGGATGTCAATAACGTGGTTGATATTCAAAACAACATAAAGGATTATCGAGTACACATAAACATGATAGGATAAAAGTGTCAGATGCATCATCGTCTAAATCAGAGAAATTAGAAAATTCAAGATCAGAAACAAGTAAAGGATCCTCTAAAATTTGAATTTCGGCATATTCATGATCAAAATGCTCTATTTTTGCAAAATCGAGTGCATGGAAACGATCAAGACGATGTTGCATTTGATTATTTTCACGTTCAAGTCTTGATATGACTTTATTATGATTGTTTGAATTATGTGAATTGTAAATATCAACCAAACATGCCTTTGGTATCGTAATTCCATGTCAACGACAAAATACTTCAAGGTCACAACTTTTGTTATATAACTGTCGTCATCTTGGCGTGGGTTTGATATGAGCACCTAGAGGTGGATAATCAGTTATAGACCCAACAATTACATATTCAGCTTATCCAAATGGGTGATAAGGGTTGATGGGCTCATTGCAGAATGCACGTTTTTGTCTATACCACGTTACACCACTGGAGTTAGTAAATGATTCGATAGAAGGAATTTTATTCAGCGATGTTGAGCTGTCCGTTAAGCGTTCATGCTTGTTACCTGAAGATGAATTATTTTGGTCATTGTGTGAAGAAGAACTTGCATGTGATGTGCTCCTATACATTTTGTTTGGTGGTGGTGCATTTACACAACTGTGAATAGTAGTATATATATGTTCGGTTTGGTAATTTAAAATTACAATGGAAGGACATCAATCTGCATAGTTTGGAACTAATTTGTCAGTGATACAAAATGACAATGAAAAATTTTGGATATGACAACACACTACATAGATTGACTACACACGGCATAGATTGACAACACACTGCATAGACTGACAATTACAAGATGTGACAATGAAAAAGTTGAGATATGACTACACACTGAATAAACTCATAAAGCCACAATATTGATTAAAGTAAATATGACATAGACATAAACGTTATATGCTTAATAAGGTGGACAGTAATTAAATTTTTTAATTTTCATTAGACATATACTCATCTGATAGGTATTGCTCATTAGACAATATATTAGATTGCTCAGTAGCTATTAACTCTCTGCCAAATGCAATTGCCACCATGTCAGATGTTGTTTGGAGCATATAGTATCGGCACTTACGCAACATCATCCTATTATTCTCTTTTCGTATACGTTTAACTATTGCTTCATAGTTGACTTTATTCCTTCGTGGCATGGTAAGTGAAAGTCTCTGTGGCACTAGTATACCAAGTACTATCAGATCTGTGCGTAATGACTGTGATTCATTAGCACGAAAAGTTCATTCTCAACGGAGTCCGACATAATACTCATTTGGATCAGAAAATCTCTCATTCTTGTAATCATCATCTCGCTCTTGTAATAATCATATTGGTTCATGCCTATGGTTGGTATCAATTGTTTGTGCTCTTGAAGTAGACATAATATGCAATATATGTTATAAGAATCACCCTATATTATGTTTTTATAGTGGTTTTTATTGTCTAAAATAAATACATTTGTTAGCAGTGTAGTAATGTGTAATCACCTTTATATTTGAGTTGATGGTCAAATAATAAAAACAAAGTTGTGCAGTACGTGTGACTACACTATATTACATGCTAGCGTAACCAGACACTGGTACACAGTGACTGTGACTGCACACTGAAAAATATAGTACATTGATTTAAATAGGCAATGATTCATCCTACGTCATAGTGATTCATGTCCGTGACACGTTTAATAGTATTAAGGTTTATGGATGTTAACTACTATGTTGTCATAGGATGTGGAATGTGATAACACAACACTGCATTGAAGTGCAATGTATGGTCTTCATTAACGTGTGATGCTGAATAAGAAATAAGTACAATGACTGACAATTACAGCATTGTCTATCGTTATGACAACACACTGGGTTACTGTGATTAAACACTACTTAAATGTCAGTCTGTGTAAATGCACACTGGTTCACTGTCAATATGTGTCAAAAGATATTATTGTGTAATCAGTGACTGAGACTACACAATGTCTTAATGTCATTCATTTAGACTGTAGACTGACATACTCATATAAATAAATTGCATATAAATCTGAACTCATGTGAAATGTTGAATGTACAAAATTCATCTCTAACCATGAATTTTAGTCCTAGAACCCTGTTTGAAACTCTGGGTTATCATTGGGCTTTAGAGGTGAGTTCTTTTACCCAACAAATCCTCGCTTGCACTATTCACTAGCAGCTACAAACACAATGATGACGGAATGGCAATATCACTTGCCGGAAAGATAAAATCTAAGCTTAGATTTATGTTCTTGCAGCATAAAAAGGCCTCGACAAGTTGTCATTATCATACCTATTACCACTCCTCAAGAATTAGAGCAAACATTATTTCTCATTCGAGTTACGAACAATCGAATGGCAATCCGNCTTCATAGTTGACTTTATTCCTTCGTGGCATGGTAAGTGAAAGTCTCTGTGGCACTGGTATACCAAGTACTATCAGATCTGTGCGTAATGACTGTGATTCATTAGCACGAAAAGTCCATTCTCAACGGAGTCCGACATAATACTCTTTTGGATTAGAAAATCTCTCATTCTTGTAATCATCATCTCGCTCTTGTAATAATCATATTNAGTTTGTATTGTCCATATACATTTCAATAATTTATGTTATGTTATTCAACAAACATCTCTTTAGAGTATTGAATAAATAATCTAAAGGGCAATAATGAATTAACATTATATGAAACTATGAACACAAAGAGATTTTATATACAACAACAATATTCACAAATTTTATACAAAAAAAACCGTAAAAAATGGACTACATCCCACAAGGTGGTGGTCTCCTCTGTCACTTAGGCCGCTGACTATCAGGCAGAGCCGATATATCTTGAATGACTCCACCATCTACTGGATCATGTGGATGCTATGTATGACGATTGACTCTATGCCCACCTCTGCCTCGACCTCTATGTGACAGTGAAGGCTTCTATGTAACTCCCTCAGCTGAAACCTCACATCATCGAAACTGTCCTTGTATGGAATAGGAGAAGTAGGTCGTGTGGGCATCGGTGGAAAAATACGTGGAATACACACCTCTGCATGTGAAAGTGATGTAATTGTTGTACCAACAGGATCTGGTGAAGGTGTGAATGGAGTCGTCGATGCATCAACACCTGGTGACGTCAGAGGTGGCATACATGATGTAATTGTGGGAAGATCAAGCGGTGATGTAGCGGCATGGTGATTAACCGGTGCAGGAATATCCACGACCGGTGGGGGAGTCTGCCCATGTGCGCGTACAGCTGGCCGTCGAGGAATTCGTACACCACGTTGTCGTGGATGCACTGGTACTGCAACAACTAGCTGATGAATGTCTGTCGGAAACTACACAAGTCTTCGGTGCTCAGAAAAAGTAGACAAATACTGGTAGCTAAGATCCCCCATCTAGCTGATGGCCGCTAAACATGTCCCAAATCAGGCTCCCCAGTAATAGTATCAGGAGCTGTGTGATATACCTGTGTCAGTATCTGTTCCTNTAGCTGATGAATGTCTGTCGGAAACTACACAAGTCTTCGGTGCTCAGAAAGAGTAGACAAATACTGGTAGCTGAGATCCCCCATCTGGCTGATGGCCGCCAAACATGTCCCAAATCAGGCTCCCCAGTAATAGTATCAGGAGCTGTGTGATATACCTGTGTCAGTATCAGTTCTTGCAGCAC